CAACTGAACCATCAATGCTGGGCAAAAGAATGGAGGAACAGAGGGAGCAGGACAGGATGCCAGAACAGAGCACTCTGTGTGTATATGTGTGTGTGTGAGGTGGGGGTCTGTGGCAATCCATTAAACCCAAGGAAAAGAGATCAGCATTCAGCTATGGCCAGTACTGTGCCTCCAAAAGTCACTTGGGATAGACTGGTAAACTGTAAATTGCCCAATGTGGGAGGAGGCTGAGATGCTTTGAGATCCAGCTCCCAGGGAAACCACCCCATCAGAGGGGAGGGAGTCAGGGAATGAGCAATAGGGGAAAATAAGGAGGAAAAAAAAAAGACTGAAATTACTAAAGATCTCAGGAAGAAGAAAACTCAAAGACCTTGAATTTAAGCAGACAGATCAACATGGAAAATTAACAGCAGAAGAAAATATGCCCTTCGGATCTAGTAAATGAGTTCAAGTATTTATGAATAAATACTGCAAAACAAAGACTAATGATCTGATACCTGATGAGACAGATGACCCTCTGGAATTTGAGAATATGGAATGACACTTTGTTCCTGAGTAGTTTAAAAGAGAAATGAAAATTATAAGAGGAAAATTTATGTCCTGTATGGCAAAATTAATGGGCAGAATAGAATATAAACTCTTTGAGATGAAAGTCTGTCTCACTTTTGTAAGTAGCTAGGTAAGGAAGTAAAGAGAGTGTTGGCCTTGAAGTCCTGAAAACCTGAGTTCTAATCTTGCCTCAGATACTTACTAGCTGTGTGACCCTAGGCAAGGCATTCAACCTCTGACTCAATATCATCATCTGTAAAATGAGGATAGTAACAGTACCTACCACACATGTATTTGCAAGAGTCCAGCTTTGAGAGAATCAGGGAAACCTCACAAGATTTAGAGCAAGAAAGCATTACAAAAATCACAAAACACAGCTAATGTGACACCAAAAAGGCTGCTAGAAAGACTGCAACAATCTTATCATTTTCACTTTTTAACACCTCTTGTATATGTCCCCTTCTCTAGACTCACACACCCACCACTACCATCTCTTCTTACCAGGACTACAGCAATACCAGTTTTAGTTGGTCTCTCATTCTACAGTGATCTTCTTAAAGCTCAGGTCAGACCAAGTCAGTTCCCTACTTGATAAACTCCATTGGCTATCTATTACCACCAAGATCAAATGTAAAATTCTGTTTGTCCTTCACAACCTGGGCCCTTCCTATCTTTCAGGTCTTCCTGTACTTTACTCCTCTCCACACATTCCACCATCCAGGTACACGAGAGCACCTACTGTTCCTTACATGCTCCACTTCACTTCTAGTCTTCCCACATTTCCATTGCCTGTCCCCCATACCTGGAATGTTCTTGCTCCACACCTCTGCCTCCTAGCTTTGAGTGCCTTCCTTTAAAATTCAGCTCAAATTTCACCTTCTGCAAAGAGACCTTTCCAGGTCCTCCTCACTGCTAGTATCTTCCCTCTAGGTTTAACTTCCATTTACATTGTACATATCTTGTATGTACATAGTTATTTGTAAAAGTGACCTCTTAGAATGTGAGTTTCTTGAAAGTAGAGAATGTACTTTTGCTTTTTTTGTGTCTCCAGCACTTCAAGTGGTTGGTACACAGTAAATATTTATCAATTGTTTATCGACTGATCTGCCAGCTATTTAGGGACTAGAGGTGTCTGCGTCTTTACCATTACATATTTGCTTGCCACACACTCACACAGGAGATATAACAACCTTGGATGAGGTAAATTGTAGCCACAATTCACTCTCTTTCCCTTATCTTATCTTCCTTACCTTCTATGACATTGTTCTGGAGTGGATGGAGCCTGCTATGGCAAAAATGTAATCTTCATGGGTGGCCAGGAATAATATCTCAACCATTAGATCCCCCTCTCAGCTAAGCCTTATTTCTTCCTAGTTCTCCTACTAATATGTCTTGTATGCCTGGCTAAATTATAAAATTTCTAGGAAGGAAGAGATCTTAATCCCACCCTAATTTTACAGAGAGATAAGTGATTTGCCCCAAAGTCACACAGGTAGAGTGACAGAATTAGGAGGAATCCTTCTTGCAAGGCATTTCCATTCTGAGGGGCAGTGTGGAGTGGTGGATAGTGTGCTACATGCAGTAAGAAATTTTGGGGTTCAGATCTTGCCCCAGACACTTGATAGCTTTCTGACCCAAGGCACTTAACCTCTCCAAGGCTCAGTTTTCCCATCTGTAAAATGGGGATAATAGTAGTACATACCTCTCAGTATTGTTGTGAGGTTCAAATAAGTGTATGCAAATCTTTAAATGATACATAAATGTGAACCATTACTATTGACTGTCAAAGTCACCAGTTTACCAAGGACAGCAGAAATCTGTAAAACATTTTCCAAGAAATGTGTCCACAGAAAGATATCATGGGTGCCTCACTGGCTTGATGCCTCAGTTTCCTCTTTATAGAAGGAAGTCAATGATGCTAGTCTTCAAGTTGTACATAGTATTTTTAGTTCCTTGGGATAAAAAGTCAAGTATTGAGTATAATTACAATACAAAAGAAACAGCATGGTGGATAGAGATCTGGCCTTCGAGCTAGGAAGTCCTGAGTTCAAGTCCTGCTTCTGACTATGTGACCCCAGGCAAGTCACTCTCAGTGCTCTAGGTGATTTTTTAAATCTATACGTTGCAGAGAAGATATTGACCTGAGTTAACAGAAGGAGTTTTTGTTATCCCCTTTTTTCCTATACTAACGAAATCACAGGTTATTTCTTTGGGTCTACATTATAGTTAACAAGAAATACAATTAGCTTAAAGCAAATGCATTTACTGAAATGGCATAGTATGAACAGTAGTAACAAAACATTTTTCCTATAAACCTGGAAATCACTCCTACAAAAACAGACATACTATCAATGGGAAGAGTAGGCACACACATATAGAGTATTAACTAGTGCAGAGGCACACATGTGGTGATAATATGGCCCAGACAGTCATGCTTCTAACACTACAGGGCCCTAATATCTTTTCCCTTTTCCTATTGTTCTCACCTAATGCTCCCTGTGGGCACAGTGCCTCTAGTGGGCACACTGCTCTGCTGGGTTCCCTGGGCCTGCTCTTTTTTGCAGTTTAACTCACCTCTCCAGCTGGACACTCTCTGGGTCAATTCTCCGCTGAGTATATCCGCTCCTAATGGGCCCTACCTGAGCAAGTTGTCTGATGGCAAGATGGCACAGCTGATGGGGTGGCAAGAGAGGAATAAAAACAAAAAAAAGCAATTCTCTCTCAAGGGCTGAATTCTTTCTCCATTGTTGCTTATTTTCTCAACAGCCAAAAATGACTCTTCCAACTGACAGAAATCATTCTCATGACTGACTTCAGAACTGGCTAACCTGCTTTTTAAAATTAGCTCAATCCTGGTTCAATACTTCAGCCAATCAATAGCCAGCCACCTCATTTGATGGCTTCTTCAAATCTCCTAAACGAGCAAGAACTATAAACATTTCTCTATAAGCATTTATTAAAATAAAGGGTGGGGCACTCTCAGTTTCATACTCTTATACCGTTGAATGGGGGAAGGGGTTGGAAGAGAACTCAGAGTAGGAATTATTCAGTCTCCCACATCTTATTAAAAGGTGCAAAATGATCCACTCGAAATTTGAAAGGACACACCCATACCTTTTACTAGGTGCAAACGGTACTACCATACTACAAGTCTGAAAGAAGCAAAACCATAATACCTTATTTTTCCCTGTGACACGAATGTAAGGACATTCTGTAATCTCATCCCTTCAGGATGCCTCAGAAGCCAGAACCACCTCATTCCACGTGAGAAGCACGAGTACAACAGTAGGGTTTTTTATAATTGTTGATTTCCTCCTCACCTTTCCAGTGTCATCCTGCTTGAGAGATCCTCCGACCCATTCCTCCCCTGACAAAAGTGAAATAAAGTCAAATACTAGGATTTGAGAGGCCCTGAAATTCTGGCATTGCCCATAGCACCTCTGCACTTATGCTATTCTAGACCTTTTATTTTACCCACAGGTTTGCAAATATCAAGCATCTTTATTAGCAGTGAAAGCAATTCCATGGACGACAACCTATGTCCTTAACATGGAAGTCGGAAACTAGGTGCTGGCATATAACCCTTCTGACCTTCCTCTATTAAAACGTTCTTTAAAACCGTTCAAAATTGTGGAAACAAATACTGGTGCACATTAAGAGAAGCCTCCCTACATCTGGAACCTTTGCAGTGTTTGTGCGCGATGCAATCATCGCAGGCGCCCCGCCCCGCCCCGTTCCGTTAATTAGTTTAAGGTTGATTTAGACGAGGACGGCCAGCGTTCCTCCCCTAGGATGAACAACATCTCCTGAACGGACAGGGCGCAGCCGGAAAGGAGTCGGGGCATGAAACCTGAGGCTAGCTCTCGTTCAGGGGAGGGAGCCCGACAAGCGTAAAGGAGAGCACGACGGTGGCCCGCGACGGGCCCGGGTCGGGGAGGCGAGCCAAGCCGAAGCACAAGCCTTCCACCGACCCCGGCGGCCAGATTGTCCCGACCCTCCTCAGTTCTCGGTAGGCCTGAGCACCCGCCTTCCAACAACAAAGCAGCGGATTGGCTGTGGGGCACACGTGATCACAAGGCGGGGCACCACAGCGCGTTTATCATAGACAAACAGGCCAGCCGAGGAAACCGGAACGCGGGGCCAGTTACGGCCACGGTCCTTATATAGAGTGAGTCCCCGAGCACCGCCCTAGCAACCGCCCCTTAGCAACGCCTGTCCCAGGTTCCGGACTCCCTTATCGGCCTCCGCCAGACCTTTCCTGTTCCCCGCCGGAACCTCCGGGGGAGGGGGTGGCTCGGTTCACGTGACTCTTTGCTGGGGGGAGGGGAAAAGGAAGGGGGTAAAGAGAAGCGGCTGGGAGGGCGGGGCGAGGCTTTTCGGGGTGGAGAAGGAGGTGGGCCTAGGAGCAGGGCCGCTTTGTGCGTCATCAAGCCGCGCCGGACGCGGTTGCCGTGTCGCGCTTAGCTGTTTAGTCCCTGGCTGAGAAGATGGCGACCGGGCAGCCGGTGTTGGTGTTCGGTCCCGGCCCCGAGTGCTGGGCAGTGCCGTGGTCTTCGGCTCGGGGTTCGGTACGGGACTTCATCGGCTCTTACTGCCGGCACAGGGTAAGGGGCGTAGGCGCGGATCGGGGAGGCAGAAGAGGGGAGAGACGCGAGCGACGGAAGCTGTTCCTTGAGGTCCCCGGGACTGGGCTGGGCTGGAGGGTCAGGCTGGTCGGGGGAGTCTCTCTCTCCTTCCTCGCATTTCCCCCAAGCCTCTGCCTCGGACGTCAGGAGCTGCTGGGATTTGCCCTGCTCGGTGTCAGCCTTTCTGGGGGCTGGGACCCCGTCCCCACAGCAGCCCGGCGCCCACCGGAGCTGGTTATCTGTCATGAGGGCCCCAACTCCGTGGCCGGGATTTATCGTGACCCTGAACCCGCCTCCTCAGGAGGAGGCCCAGGAGATGCGGGTGTTGACGTGGTCACGGGTGCGTGGCTCTTCTAGTTTAGGGGCTTGTGTTTGTTGAAGCATTTCCCCTTTGTATTGGGTTGTATTTTCCTTTCTCGTTCACACATTGAACAAAGGCGAAAACAACAGTAGTTTTGAATGCTTTCGAAGACTTGGACTGTTTCCATGAGGAGGAAATGTCTGTTTGCAAATACTTTGGTTTCTCAGCTTCCTCTTTTTCCTCCCACACACAATCGACTTTCCAAACTGCCAACAGACCTGTTTTCAGCTGTGACCATTTGAATTAGAGAACACTTCCCAAAGTGAGTTGGATGTTAGTGTTTCTGAAATGTCTTAACTCTTAATCCTTTAAATACAGGTTTTAAATCGGTAAGTTCATGTAGAATGGGACCAGGAGAGGAAAATGCTTTTGACATTAGAAAGTAAGACGTTAAATCGGAGCTAAGAAAATTTAAAGTATTAATCAAGTGTTTCAGAACCACCACAATGATGAAAGACTTTACGAAACTCCCCTCTAACATTTAAAGTTGTCGGGGTGACTGTGTAGTACAAGAGAAAGAGCGCTGACTGGAGTCAGAGGACCTGGGTTAAAATCCCCTCTCTGATGGTTACCTTGTGTTACCTCGGGCAAGTCACTTAACCTCTCTGGGACTCGGCTTCCTATCTGTAGAATGAAGGGGTTGGATTAAGTGGTCTTTCAGATTGCTTCCTGTTTTAAATCTGTGATCCTTTGAGGTGATCAGGTTTTGAACAATAAGACTTTGAATATATTTCTAATAAAACAAAATATGTTCTCAATGACAACAGAAAAGAAAACCCACGGGGGAGGTGTTTATCTGTGAAATGGCTAATGGTTTAGGAAGTCAACAAGCATTTATTAAATGTGCAGGGTGTGCTAAGCCTTTGTTTACAAAGAAAGGCAAAAACAGTCCTTGCCCTCAAAAAGTTCACAATCTAATGGGGGAGATAGCATGCAAACAACCATGTACCAACAAGATATATACAGGATACACTGGAGATAATCAACAAAGGGAAGGCATTAATATTAAGGAAGATTGGGAAAGACTTCTTAAAGAAAATGGAATTTAACGGGGATTTGAAACCAAGAGGGAGACAATTCCAGGCATAGGGAGAGCCAGGGAAAATGCTCAGAATCAGGAAATGGGGTGTGTTGTTCAAGGAATGGAAAAGAAGTCAGTCACTGGATCATAGAGTGTGTGAAGGAGAGTAAGGTGCAAGACAACAGGACAGGTAGGAAAGGACCAGATTATGGAGATCTTTAAAAACCAGAGGATTTTATATTTGATCCTGAGGGCAATAGGGAGACTCTGGAGTTTATTGACTTGGAATACCAGGCTGGGGTGGTGACATGGTCCGTCTTGCACTTTAGCAAAATTAATTTGAGAGCTGAGTAAAGGATGGATTGGAGTGGGATGAGACTTGAAGCAGGAAGGCCAACTAGAAAGCTATTAAATAGTAGTCCAGGTGTAAGGTGAGAAAGATCTTTTCATGATAAGGAAGAACTTTTCATTCCTTTTTTTCCCCTCACTTTATCACTCCTAGAATGTATTAAGTTTTTATTTTGTCAAGTGAAGCTAACTAACCTGGTGCTTGGGGGAGCCAGGGCTATTACAGTGATTGGCAGTGACTCAAGGAGGCAGTTAGAGCCAGCTGGTGCTTTAAAAAAGAACAGCAAAAATGGTAATGTATTTCTATAGCTCCTTAAGGCACCCCTCCTTTTCCATCCCACTTTCCCACACCCCAGGCTTCATTTTGCCTTTTTGTGATTTGTTTTTCCCCTGTTCAGGGCTCTTCTTTATAATTCATTTTAGCTTGATTTCACTGATATAAAAATATTTTATGGAAATCACTGTGTAATTTGTTTTTGGCCCTAGAACTTCTTAGTGTGGCCAAGCCAGATGCTGTGCTATACAGAAGGTAGCAGTTCTATAACTACAAGGAGTATGAGAGTCTTTTAAAATATGCTCCAAGAATCTGAGTTGAATTATACCTGTAATCCAGTATCTACTACTTGTTTCTTTTGTATTTCTTGTTTTTACATACATTCATACTTATTTTTAAAAATTATTATAAACTATTTAATTATCAACAAAAAAAGATACAAAATAAGGACAGATATCTTACAAAAAACCCCCAGTGTGTGACAACATGAAGCCAAACAAATGAACAAGATAACAACAAATATATTTGCTTTATGTCACCTTCCAAGTCCACCTGAAGTTCTTCTACACAGTTGGCCTTGTTTGTATATGTAGTCAGTGTATATACAGTTAGTTTTCCTGATCTTGTTTGCACTCTTAATTTTTAAAAATGTTTGGCATTTTTTAAACAACTTTTTATTGCATTTAGGGTATTCCAGTGGATTGTTTCTACGTGAAGTGTAATGGACAGCTAACTAATACTGAAGATATCGTTCAATATGGAGCAGTTTATAGTCTGGAGCCCAGACTCCGTGGAGGAAAAGGAGGTAACTTATATTTGATGTTACCAGAGGAAATGATGTATCTAGATATTATGTCCTATTTTTGTTCCTATTTAAATATTTTTCTTTAATTTCTAAAAGGAAGAACTTCTTCCCTAGCATTCTGACAACTCCTGGTTTCTGAAAGCTTTGGTAACAGGAGTTGAAGAGAAGTAACTGATTAAATAGTTTGCTTAAAATAGAAGGAAGAATATTATCATAATATTTCTGCTTCTACCAATTTTTCAGTTGGTTGCTAGAGATCCAGTGGAGTTCCAAGTTCAAACTAAGGACTGGAAATGAAAGTGAGGCAAAGAGTTAGTAGAAAGATTATATTTATGGTTTCAATTTGCAGGCATAATTTGTCTCCAGTAAAATATTTGAGAAGGGATGGGGGAATAAATTATGGAAGTGAGCACAGCATGTAAATGCTTCCTAAGATTTCTCTAGATGTAACACACAGCGTCTGTTTGGAACCTTGGAGAACTTCAAATGTTGGAAGAGCTAGGAAATAGCAACTTGGAATATTTAACAACTTTGAATCCCACAGGAGGAACTCATTAGACTAACTCGTTATACTTAAAATTACATTTCCTTTAGATACTCTGCAACCTCCTTCCAAGTGATTTCCAGAGCTGTTCGTCTCAGAACCCTTGGCTGGCTGCCTGTCCTTTTGGAATATGTTAGCCTAGCACAGGTGTTTTTATGAGAGAAAGAACTGTTTCCATAAGAAAAGAAAAAGAACCTAGAAGGAAAAAAATCATTTAGTTGACAAGTGGTTTGCAGATCCTTTTATGTATGTTGCTTGGGGTGGTGAGAATCTTAATTTGTTTTGCAAAATTTTCAAGATCACTGTTAATCTTTAGTTGTCACTGGTGCAACTTCTTGTACAATTAAGATGCTTTATAATCCTTCAATAAAACTGCGTGTAACATGTTTTTAATGAGCTTTTCTCTTTTTTCCCCCCACATGGATTTAAAGTTTGCATAGTGGCTATTTAGTGTTATAAAATTTAGCAACTTGGAAATGAAAAAAAGCCAAATGTATATCTGTTGGACAATTCTTCATTTGAAATTTTATCACTTTTCTTCAGGTTTTGGATCTATGCTTCGAGCTCTTGGTGCTCAGATTGAAAAGACAACTAATCGAGAAGCATGTCGAGATCTCAGTGGAAGGAGACTTAGAGATGTCAACCATGAAAAGGCGTAAGATAACTTAAAAATAAAGCTCCCTAAAAACTGCAGTCTTATATTTAACTCTACAGGTTAAAAAAAAAATGAAACTTTGAGAACATTTCCCATCAAGTTCAGAGAATCATAAATGTAGACTTGGAAGGGACCTGTAGAGGTCATCTAGCCTAGTCCCTTCATTTGACAGATGAGGAAACTGAGGACCAGAAAGGGAAAGTGACTTACCCAAAACCATGCAGGTTATTAGTTTAGGTCCTGGAATTTAACTAATCCCAGCTCTCAGTCTAGTGCTGTTTTCATTGCACCACAGTGTTTCCTCAGAACATTTATGTTGCTTTAGCCAGAATGAAACCTGTGCCTCCCACATTACAGGTGAGAGTTATAACACTGAATCGCCACTGAATGGACGATGGTAATATTGTTACACTGAAATTTTGTTATTACATAGTAGAAGTTATTTTTTAAAGTTCTAGTCATTCATAGTCAGCTTTGTTAATCAGCGGTATAATCATAAGGCTAAAAGGACCCTTATGAGATAGTGTGTCCAGCATTACCTCAGAATCTTAAACATCCTTACAGGTCACTGCCAGTGATCCATTTGAAATCCTGTTTGTATTTACATCCTGCCTTTAAGGATGTCGAAACATTTATAGGAACATTGATGGCCTGAGCATCTTTGAAAGATATTGTTAGAAGCATACCTTTCATTGGCTTACTCAGGTACTCTGACGGGTCAATGATCTCATCAGTTTGGTAGTTCCCAATGATGTTACATGTTGACACTTGTTTATATTTCTCCAAAAGTTCACCACAGAAAGTCCCCCCAACAAGCTGGAGGCTTTCTTCACTCCTAATGTTTTGAGGATGCCAGTAGAGCATTCTGGCTGTCAACCTGTCTCTCTTGCCCTTGCTACATGATCAGCCCATCTCTTTCTATTACACAGTTCTTTGATGACATCCTTTACCCTTGTTCTTCAAAGTTGTTCATTTATTGGTTAGATAGTGCAGCCTGCACGCACCAACTTCGATGTTCCATTGCCCTGTGTGTGGCATTGATTCTTAGTTGTTAGGCAGTGGTGGTTCACATCTTGCAGCTATATTGTAACCCTGATAAAATGTTGGTATTGAATGACTTTGCTTTTATGGGAAGCTTGAGGTCAGTAAAAGAGCTTTGCAATTTCCTGAAAGCAATTCAACCAGCTGTCCTCCTCCTTTTCAACTTCCAGTGCCCATCTGTACTGTCTGTTCCACATTTTCTTATTATTTGACAGGCTCTATAATAATTATTTCTTAACTTTGTGTCATAGACATAAAATGAGATCACAGATTCCCTTTGGCAGTCTGGTAAAAACCTGTGAGCCTCTTAAAATAATTTTTAAATATGTGAAATAAAACACATAGAATCATAAAGGAAACCAAGTTATCAAAATATTTAAAAACCAAGTTCATGTTTCCCAGGTTAAGAACCTTTGCTTCACAACATACCTGATAAGAGGGCATCCAACTTCAAGTCCTCTAATAATGAGGCACCCACTCCCTTCTGAGGCAATCCATTTCACTTTTGCACTGTTAGGAGTGTTTCTTTATATTAAGCAAAAAGATACCTCTGCAACTTCTACTCATTGCTCCTAATTCTGCCCTCTGGGGCCACCCAGAACAACTCTTTCTCTTCCATATGACAGTCATTTATATCAGAGGTGGTCAAACAAGTATGCCTCTGGAACCATATTAAAATACAAGTGGAAAGTATCTAACAAAATAAATGAAACTACAGTAGAAACATAGACAATGTTAATAAGTGGTTTTCTATGTCAATATGCATCTGAAGGGATTCTTAATGCACTATTTGAGTTTGATGCCACTGAATTACATAATTGACAGATACCATGCCTCTCATAAATGTTCTCTTTTTTTTTTACCGTAAACATCTCCAGTTCTTTTGATCCTCATATGGCATTATCTTCCCAGTTCCTCTCCTCTGAATGCTTTCCTTTTTACCAATTTTCTCCCTAAAATATGGCCAGAATACATAATTCTTCAGATGTGGTCTGACCAGGGCAGAATAATATAGGACCATCACCTGGTTATTTTTAAAAGCTCCATCTCTTTTAATGTAGCTCAAAGTTACATTTTTGCTGTCATTTTGCTAACTTCTCCTGAGCTTGTGATTTACTAACTCCCCAAAGTGGTCAGTTAATGCTTATTATTAATCGCGTAGTACATGCTAGGAACTGTTTTAAATATTGGGAATACAAAGAAAGGCAAAAAAACCAGTCTGTGCTCCGAGGAGCTCATGGTCTGAAGGGCAGAAGGGGAGACAATATGAAAACTGTTATGTACAAACAAGTTATGTACAGAATAAATTGGAGGTAATAAACAGAGGGGAAAGTACTAGCATTAAGGGGGATTAGGAAAGATGACTTGTAGAAGGTGGAGTTTTAACTGAGGGTTGAAGGAAGCCAGAAGGCAGGGATAAGAAGGGAGAGCATTCCAGGCATGGGGAAAGGCCAGTGAAAAAAGTTTTAAGAAGCCTGGAAAGGTTAGAGGAAGCCAAGTTAGGAAAGGTTTTGAATACCAGAAGATTTTATATGTGATCCTGGAGATAAGAGAGATCCTGGAGTTTCTTAAATGAGGGAGGCATGACATGGTCACACCTGTGTTTTAGGAAGCTCAGTTTGACAGCTGAGTGGAGGATGGACTGGAGTGGGGAAAGACTTGAGGCAGGGATGCAAACTGTTGCATTAATCCAGGGAGGAGGGTGATGTACCATAGGGGTGGCAGTGCCAGAGGATGGAGAAGGGAATGGAGTAAGCATTTGTATAGCTCCTCCTATGTGCCAGGCACTATGCTTAGTGCTTTTTACAAATATTATTTCATCTGATCTTCACAACAACCCTGAAAGGTAGGTGTTAGTATTTTTATTATCCTCATTTTACAATTAAGGAAACTGAGGCATAGAGGTTAAGTGACTTGCCCAGGGTCACACACGATTAGTAAATGTCTGAAGCTATATTTGAACTCAGATTTTCCTGACTTCTGGCCCAGCGCTCTGTCTACTGTATAGCTGTGTCTCTAAGGAGGCAAAGGAGGGAAGAGGGCACCTATTAGAGATGTTGTGAAGGTAAGAGTGATAGGCCTTGGCAAGAGATTGGATATGGGAGGTAAGAGAGAGTGAGGAGTCAAGGATAACATCTAGGTTGGAAGCCTGGGAAACTAGGAGGATGGTGGCACCTTTAACAGTAATAGAGAAGTTCACAAGAGGGGAATATTTGATGATAAAGCCTGCTTTAGGAACTGTTTGGGTCTGGGAGAATGCCTGTTCTCTTGTGTTTTCATTAAGGACTTCCTCAATAATGATTTAATTTCCATAGATAGAGGGGAAAGTAGGCATATGGGTTGGTAGTTGTTGATGGCCTCTCACTTCCTTTTTTGAGGGATAATTATAGCATGTGTGCTTTTTTTCCCCCTAGTTGTTATTTTCCTGTTTTTGCAAAATCTTGAAAATTGACCTTTCTAGTGCTTTCAAAGGTGTTTGCCTATGGACACATGGGTTTCTTTTGGTCTAGCCATGATTTCCATCTTCCTTAGTAGCGTTTCCACATCCTCATATAGTAGATTGGGATCTAAGGTGTTGAGTCCAAATGTAGTGCTTTCACTGTAACTGATAAGATTATTATAGAAATTTTGGCAAATGTGTTCTATTTTCTATCTATTTGATATTTTTTATTTCACGTGAAGGTAGTATGGCTTAGTTGGATATAAAAACCAAACTTGGCTTAGTTAGGTTTAAGGTAAGCTTTCAGTAGATTTGTTTTCCCTTCTATGGCTAATTGCTGTTTCATGAGGCTACCTGGTCTTTTGCCATCCTCCTCTTTTGGAAATGAGTTTTACCTTTGACTGCCATGCTCTCGTTTTGGCAAGGTCCTTTTGGCTTTTTTTGTGGCACTTGCTTAAAATAAGTTAAACTTTTTTTAAAAAGCAGCTATAGTCCATGTCAGTATCTTCATATTTATCTATTTCCCAATTTTCAGTATTATCCACTTGTTTGAATGGATCATGCTGGAGATATTCCTTTTTTTTTCCTTTTCTCTTTTTCAAAAAATTTATTTAGTATTTTATTTTTTCCCCAATTACATGTAAAAACAATTTTTAATATTCATTTTTAAAACTTTTGAGTTCCAAATTCTCTTCCTTCCTTCCTCCCCTCCCCCTACATTGAAAAGGCAAGCAGTTCAATGTAGGTTATACATGTGTCGTCATGCAGAACATTTCTGTAATAGTGATGTTGCGAAAGACAACATAGACCAAGGGTGGGGGCCTCAAGAAAAATAAAGAAAATTAAAAAATATGCTTCAACCTGTATTCAGACACCATCAGTTCTTTCTCTTGGGATGGATAGCATTTTTCATCATAAGTCCTTCAGAGTTGTCTTAGATCATTGTATTGCTGAGAACAGCTAAGTTATTCACAGCTGATCACCCTACAGTATTACTGTTACTTTGTACACAGCACATTTCACTTTGCATCAGTCCATGCAAGTCTTCCCAGGTTTTTCTGAGAGCATCCTGCTCATCATTTCTTATAGCACAATAGTATTCCATCACAATCACATACCACAGTTTGTTTAACCATTCCCCAATTGATGGGTATCCTCTCAGTTTCCAATTCTTTGTCCCCAGAAAAAACATGCTGGAGATTTTCAACATCACCTTGTTTGAATAGATCATGATTTCACATAGTGTTTTCTTTTCATCTCTATCCTTCTGATTTGGTGTTGAGTTTTTGATCCTTGCCCTAACTAGTCAGTAGTCTTGACTGTACACATCCAATTCTGCAATTGCTCCCACTTTAATAACCAGTTATTTCTTATTTGTTAACAAATAGTTTCGTTTTCATAGTGGTATTTGGTATACAATGTGTCCAGTGCTTTCAAACAGCTCCATTCCTACCCCTCCCCTGCTATGATTCCATGAATGCATTTTGTATAGCTTTACCCAATATAGTTGTTTGGCCCACTGAAGGAGTTAAGGTGTATCGCAAGCTTAACTCACTTCTATGGATACCCACAGAACTGTCATATTGTCAGGATGGCATATGTTGTCAAAAATACATGTTAGGTTATCATCTTCCTTTTCCTTTTATCTGCCTGTGATTCCCTTGTGCCTTTACTTGCTGGCAACATAGAGTTTTTCTTGGCATACCTAATTGGCCTTTAGTATTCATACCAATCCATGGCATAAACCTGAGATCCAAATTTTCTACTCAGTCCCGATTATGGTGGCTCTTTGAGTCCTGCCTTTATGCTAGAGGACTTTAATATTCAAACAGATGCATCCTCAAGCTCCCTAATCTCTCACCTCTTAAACCTCCTTAAATCCTATGACCTACTTCTTCCCTGTACCTCAACCACGTAGAAATGGCAACACATCAGATCTCAACGTGAGCCACAAGTGTCTGAGTAGAAACCCTGACAGTCCTTTATCTGATCATAACTTATATCTTCTGTATTCTGCTTCTTCCTCTGCCTTTCCCTTACTAGGCCTGCTCTCCACCATCATTGAAATCTCCAGTCTCTACCCTCAATACTTTCTCGGGCCCTGATTTTTTATTTCTTTCTCTCTCCAGCCTCAACCCCTTAGTTAGTCACTTCAGTTCTACACAATCTTTTTCTCTTGAATCTGTCATCCCCTTGTCCTGTTGCTACGTATTCCTTGCCATGTAAGTTCAAGGCAGTTGTGCCTGTTGGCTTTCCCCTTCCAGAATGGCTGAATGGGTCAAACAACAAGCTGAGCGAGAAGCAGAAAAGGAACAAAGGCGCCTCGAGAGGCTGCAGCGGAAGCTGGTGGAGCCAAAGCACCACTTTGCCAGCCCTGATTACCAGCAGCAGTGTCACGAGATGGCTGAGCGATTAGAAGACTCGGTCCTCAAAGGTAGGAGCGGAGGCTGCTGGGGAATAGTTTGCATCATCACGAGAGCTGTTTTTGTCTGGATTTGTGATGTCATTGGTTTGAGGACCTACGTTAAGGGAGTTCCCTCCACTGAGGCAGATCAGACGATTGTTCTACACCTTAGAGTGTTAGAGTTAGTGGCTTTACCCAGACAAGCCGCATCCATCAGAGGTGGGAAACTAGGTCTTCTTGACTCTGATACCAGCTGTTTACCACAATGCCGTGCCAGCCTTTTTTCAGATACTTTAACTCCAGTTTAGACTCTTCTCCTTCTGCTGACATCACTCCTTTCCTTAGAAGTCCAAATTAAGTGTAGCATTTCCCCATCCCAGGTGAAAGTTATCTCTTTCCTTTCAAATAGCCCATAACCCTTTGTTTAGACCAGGGGTAGGGACCCGGTGGCCTTGAGGTCACGCATGGCCCTATTAGGTCCTCAACTGTGGCCTTTTGACTAAGTCCAAGTCTTACAGAACCAATCCTTTTATTAAGGGGATTTATTCTGTGAAGTCTGGATTTAGTCAGAAGGCCACACTTGAGGACCTAGAGGGCCATGTGTGACCTTGAGGCCACAGGGTCCCTACCCCTGGTTTAGACAGTAGTTGTCAAACTCTTGGCCTGCCTGCAAAGCTCTAGAATGCTCTTCCTCTAGCCTGCCACCAGATTAAAATAGAATTGGGAAATGTTTAACAAAATGAAAAGAACAACAACAATATAACATAAAAAATGGTAATATGCCACCCTCAGGGACTCTGTTTCTCTTTGAATTTGACACCACCCTTTCAGACCTTTTCTTTGCACTTTCCCCATTAGATTGTCAACTCTGAGAACAAGGTCTGTAGGTTCATGTCTTCAGTGCTAAACACAGTGTCTTAATAAATGACACTTAAAAAGGCACATAATAAATGTTTGATTTGGTTTCCTGTGAATAAGTTTATACTTTAACTAAACTGGCTTTCAAGAGAAGAACAAAGGTTATTTGTTTCTAACTTCATCAGAACTTTAATGCTTTTGACTGAATGCTATTATTGAGAGTTTCCAGTTAAAATCTAGTTGAATATAGTAAGAAATTGCTCACATGTTAATCATAAAAAAAAAAAACAAATGAAGTCTTCAGCAAGTTGGATCTATTTGTTTGTGTCTGTGGGTAGGTATCCATGCATGCATGCAGCTTTTTAGTTTAGACAGCTTTTATAAATGAACTAGACAGGAAAAACTAAGTTGTTCAAATTTCTGGTCAGGTATGCAGGCTGCCTCCAGCAAGATGGTGTCTCCTGAAGTGAGTGACAGTAGGAAACGACCTAATGAACCTGAGATAAGTGGTGGAATCAAATCAAAGAAAAGGAAATGCTTTTGGTAAGTTAAATAATACTAGTTGCAATATTTAAGGCCTTAAATTATTGAACAAATGACTATGGAACCACCTATTAGCCTTATGTAAAAATGTTTATATGATAGTGAAATGGGTGCTCAAAAATATTGTAGTGGAAAAAGCGTTGGAATTTGGAATCAAAGGATTTAAGTTTGAATTCTGCCACTCATCCTTCCTATGACTGTGACATTAAGTTATTTTGCCTCCCTGCGCCTCAGTTTACTTATCAATAACATGGGGAGGTTATGTTAGATGATCTCTTGGTTCTGAACCCTACAAACCTTTCCAAGGCTGTATACGGCCTTTAAAATGAAATGCTTTCCCTTTCCTTAATTTAATAATGTTGGCTGAAATACTGCTATTATTGATTATTACAGAAATAGAATCAACAAAATTCTTTTTGTCATAATCAGGGTGAAAAATCACAGAAGAGCAAATGTCTTTTTATTTTCAGGGCTTTTGGCTTATGGGAGAAGTCAACTTCATATACTGTGCAATAGATAGATTGATTACTTGTCTGTGTTACTCTTTGTGTTGGCCTACCTTTTCTTTTCCTTCTTTTTGTCATTATTCTTCAGGAAAAAAAAGAGTAAGTACCTAATTGAGAAATGGTTCAAAGATATGAATAAGCTATTTTCTAAGAAAGAAATCCAAGCTGTCTAAAGCACTTCTGAGGTGCCACCTCACACCCTTCAGATTAGCAGAGTTGACAGAAACAGAAAATGACTTGTTGGAGGAGCTGTCAGTGTTGGAAAATGGATATATTAATGCACTGCTGAGGAAGCTGTGAATTTGTCTAGCTAATTTGGAATTGTGCCCCCAAACTGCATTCCTTTTGACCCATTGATACCACTACTAGCCCTTCATATCAAAGAGGAAAAGAACTCATGAGCAAAAATATCTATGGCAGCTCTTTTTTTGGTGGCTAAGAACTGAAAACAAAGGATGCTCATCAATTACAGAATGTCTGAACAAATTATAAAGTGGAATACTATTATGCTGCAAGAAATGATGAAGGTTTCAGAGCAACCTGGGAAGACTGGTATGAAGGAATGGGACCAAGAGAACAATCTACAACACTTAAAAAAAGACAACTTAAAAAGATTTAAGAATGCAGTGATTAAGCACAATTCCAGGGGCCTATGATAAAGCGTGCTAAACATTTCCTGACAGGCTCAGGGTGCAAATTAAGGCATGTAGTTTTGGGATGTGACCAGTGTAGGAATTTATTTTGCTTGGTTATACATACTTGTTTCAAGAGTTTTTTCTTTTCTTTTTTTTCCAATAGAGAAAGAAGAAAGGGAGAGGGAGAGAAAATAGATTTTTTTAATTTAAAAAGTGAATTTTTTTTAAAGTAAAATTTTGACATTTCCTTTTAATATTTGTGGCTTTATCTAATTTCTTAGGATTGCGGTTAATTCAAAATTAAAAAAAAAAACTTCTACAAATTAAATGAACCCCTTAAAATATATTTACTAAAAATCAAAATTCATTATGAAGCAATGGTACTTTCCAGTTTCTGGATCTGTTATACCAGTGTGTATCCTATATCCTTAAAATTCTCTTACTTCTCCTGCCAGTTAAGCTCCTTTTTTGTCACACTAACCCTTTCTCCTAGACAAATAAATAGCACAGTTTTTCAAAACCAGTAGCTGTAAATCATATTGTTTATTTTCTGACAGGATGGGCATGGACGGCCTGGAGGATGCTGGAAGTTCAGATGATGGGGACAGTGAAGAAGTCCCTAGCACTTCAGGAACGAGCTTCCACTTGCCAGATGGCTGTGCTGATAATACTGGCAAGTCAGCAGAATTTTCCAGCAGTTGTAAGGATTCTGTAGGTGTGAGTGTATCAGAAAAACTACCGGTGCCCACTATTAACTCTGAGACTGTTGCCCCAGTGGAAGTGTGTGATGAGCTGGACAAGAAGCAGGTATTAGAGAAGACAGAAGAAATGCAAGTGGAGAGAGAAATCGGGGTAGAGAAGGAAGCATGTGTGGCAGGAAAGGAGGAAGAGACAAATATAGCACAGGACAGGAAAGACCAGACCAAAGAAGCGACTGAAGGAAACCCAGAAAAGGTGCCACTTGATAAACCTGAGGGAAGCCTGACAGGAAACAAAGTAAGTCATATTCTTAGGGTGGGTTTCTTAGAAATCTATTTTCTTCTCATATTTATAGTAATAAGAAGCGTGACTTTTTCATGTACTTTTTGCCTGTTTTTGTCATTAGCCACTTAGTGAAATGACTTGCTTGTTTAGAAGTTCAGATAGAGATCAAGTTTATATGCTCTGGTTATTTTTGTAGGTCTCTTCCATTACAGGGCACTGGAAATACGACATTTTGTCACTAGATGGTGCTCGTGTATTGGATAGTGAATGTCTTATCTTGTGTAAGCAGGAATGATTCATTCTTTCCTCCTGAGTAGAAAATAGAATTTGAATGTGTGAAAAGGCTTTCAGGAGAGGAGAGCCCTTTTTTTGAATGAGTGGTCATCAAATCTTAGTGACTCCACGTTCTGCTTTATAATGATAACATAATTTTCATTTCATACTGTTCAGAATAGGTATCCAAAGTAACCTTTGGGTAGATTTTAGGAACGCCTATCTAAGGTCATACTTGGGTTTAACAGGTTTATGGATAGAACAGATAAAATCTGAACCAACAGTATAACTTCTTTGGTTTCCTTTTACGTAATTAAATTACATCATTGATTTTATAAATCAGCATCTTGTATTCAGGACATCACATGTAGCTTTCTAAAATTTCCTAGAGCATTGTTAGTAGAATCCTGCAACCAATAACGAAGCTGGCTTTGGTCAGTGCAGCCAATCTTTCTTGAATTCTTAGTTATTTGTAGGCAAGAATAATCTTATTTCCCCACCCCACCTTTTGGAATATCACTGTTGATAATCTAATATATAAGGGAGTTTATTCCTTATATTAAGAAAAGCTCTGTCATAGGTACTATCCTGAGTCCCTTACTTTGCAAATGGTACTCCAAGAATGATGTAATAGCATTTTTTAATTTATTGCATTGTCTTTGGAAATAGGAAAAAGAAATGAGTAATCTGTCCCTAGAGCTTTATCATCTCAAAATAACTTAAGAGGAAACATTATTCTTGTTCAAAGTTAATGCTTTCAATAGAAAAGGACAGTTCTCCTCTTAGTTTCCCTATCGCCATTAGGAATTTTTGTTTTGATTAATTTGTTGTTTGTTTGCAAAGGTACCAGGGCTAGAGAGAAGTTGAATATATTTGAATTTACTAAGCCCTATGCAGATAGAAAGAATGACAGCAAATTACTAGAGTTAATGGGTTCAAATCAGCAAAGGTTTCTTTGAGATAACAGCTTTATTCTAGATAAGTGATGAGGCATTTTTTGAGCATTTTTAGTGGATAACTGGGGAGGAAAGATTGAGCTGAGTGATCTTACATATTTTAAATGGCCTTTTATTCTCTTTATTACAGTTTTAAAACAAAAAAGTGGTGCTTATTTATGTAAATAGGTTATAAAAGATTCTTACTTGATTACTGATAATAGCTATTGAAAAATTCCTATCACTGAATGCTTTTGGGGGTAAAATATAAATTAGATGGAAATTCTATAAAATGGATGTTTTATGGTTTTGTAGTTGAGAAATCTATATTCACGGAAACGTGGGATTTGAATCATTATTTTCTTTTTTCTGTTTCTTTTAGTATGTTCAAGAACCTATAGATCTTCTGGCATTCAGCTCTGTTGAAGAAATGGAAGTGTTGGGTTTGGATAAGCTTAAATTGGAATTAATGACATTGGGACTTAAGTGTGGAGGCACCTTACAGGAAAGAGCAGCAAGGCTCTTCTCTGTCAGAGGACTAGCAAAGGAACAGATAGACCCTAGCTTATTTGCCAAACCCACTAAAGGGAAGAAGAAAAAAAATCCATAAAGGCTCATTTCTTACTGTTTTTTGTACCAGCAGGTTTCTTTCTCTGAAAATGTTAACCTCTATTGCTATTTCTGCAATTATTGTTGTTTGATTAGAACTGAACTTGATTGATTTAGTGGTTTGAAAACTGAGAAAGGTACCACTCTAAATTCCAATAAACATATGTTTTATAAGTCATTCAAAAGGAGAATTTTATGTTGTAAAAGTCATTACTACATGTTGTGCTTTAGGTCTTCATAAAGAAAATAGCTGCTTTGTTTAAAATGTGAATATTATGAAAAATATAGAAATAAAATTGTTTCATTAGTTTTATTATATTCAGAATATTTTTTTAGACACTGAGATGGACTAGAAATGGTCAACATGCCAAGTCAAATCAACAATCATTTATTAAGCCCCTGCTGTATGCCAGGCACTGTGCTTATTGGTAGAAGTACAAATAAAGGTAAAAAACCATCCCTTCTCTCGTTTGAAGAATAGTTGAAGGAGCTGGGGATATTTCTACTGGGACCTGATAAGTTATCTTCAAATATTTGAATGACAGTTATTTGTAACTCCAGATGGTAATCTTTTTTTTTTTTCCAGTTTTTTTAAGATTTTTATTTAAAGTTTTGAGTTCCAAATTCTACTCCCTCTCTCCCTTCTCTGCTCCCGCCCCCCCCATAGTAAACAATCAGATATAGGTTGTACATGTGTAATTATGTAAAACATTTCCATATTAGTCATTTTGTACAAGAAGACTCGAAAAAAATGATAGAAGGTGAAAAATAGCATGTCTTCAGTCTGTATTTAGTCAATATCAGTTCTTTCTCTGGAGGCAGACAGTATGCTTCATTAGTCCTTTGCGATTGTCTTGGAACATTGTATTGCTGAGACTAGCTAAGTCATTCATAATTCTTAATGAAACAATATTGCTGTTATTATGTACAATGTTCTCCTGGTTCGGTTCACATCACTATGTGTCAGTTCATGTAAGTCTTTTTAAGTTTTTCTGAAATCATCCTGCTTGTCAATCTTTACAATACTATTACACTACGATTATATATCACAGCTTATTTAGCCATTCCCAAATTGATGGACATCCTTTCAATTTCCAATTCTTAGCCACCACAAAAGGAGCTGCTATTATAAATATTTTTGTACAAATAAGTCCTTTTCCTTTTTTTAGATGTCTTTGGGAAATAGACCTAGCAATGGTATTGCTGGATCAAAGGGTATGCACAGTTTTATAGCCTTTTGGACATAATTCCAAATTGCTCTCCAAAATGGTTAGATCAGTTCACTATTCCAACAGTGCATTAGTGTCCCCGTTGTCCTATATCCCCTCCAACATCCAACATTGTCCTTTTTTGTCATATTAGCCAATCTCATAGGTGTGAGGTGTGGTACCTCAGAATTGTTTTAATTTGCATTTTTCTAATCAACAGTGATTTAGAGCATTTTTTCAAATGACTATAGATAACTTTGATTTCTTCATCTGAAAACTTCATCTGTTCATATCCTTATCAATTGAGGAGTGACTTGTATTTTTGTAAATTTGACTTCAGTCCTCTATATATTTGAGAAATGAGTCCTTTATGAGAGATACTTGTTGCAAAAAAAATTTTTTTCCCCTAGTTTTCTGCTTTTCTTTTAGTTTCATTGGTTTGTGCAAAAACTTTTTAATTTTATATAATCAAAATTACCTCTCTTACATTTTGTAATGATCTCTATTTTCTTTGGTCCTAAATTCTTCCACTATCCATAAATCTGACAGATAAGCCATTCCGTGTTCTCTTAATTTACTTATGGTATTACCCTTTATGTGTAAGTCATGTACCCATTTTGACCTTATCTTGGTATACAATATGAGATGTTGGTCTATGCCTAGTTTCTGCCACACTGTTTTCCACTGTTCCCAGAAGTTTTTGTCGAATGAGTTTATGTTCTAACAGCTTGGATCTTTGGGTTTATCATATACTGGATTACTCTGGTCGTTTACTGTAATGTAATTTGTACCTGATTTATTCTACTGATCCACCACTCTATTTCTTAGCCAGTATCAGATTGTTTTGATAATTACTGCTTTATAATACAGTTTGAGATCTGGTATGGATAAACAACCTTTGTTCACATTTTTTTTTTCATAGATTCCCTTGATATCCTTGAGCTTTTGTTCTTCCAGATGAATTTTGTTATCTTTTCTGCATCTCTAAAATAATTTAGTAGTTTGATTGGTGTGGCACTGAACAAGTAAGTTAAGTAGAATTGTCATTTTTATTATATTAGCTCGGCCTACCCATGAGCAATTAATATTTTTCCTGTTAATCAGATCTGACTTTGTGTGAAAAGTATTTTATAGTTGTGTTCATATAGTTCTTGGGTTTGTCTTGGTAGGTAGATTCCCAAGTATTTTATATTGTCTATAGTTATTTTAAATGGACTATGTTGGTAATATGTAGAAATGCTGATGATTTATGTAGGTTTATTTTGTATCCTTCAACTTTGCTAAAGTTAATAGTTTCAAGTAGTTTTTTAGTTGATTGTCTAGGATTTTCTAAGTATTACATCATATCATCTGCAAAGAGTGATAGTTTTGTTTCCTCACTGCCTACTCTAATTCCTTTAATTTTTTTCTTCTCTTACTGCTATAGCTAACATTTCCAGTACAATATTAAATAATAGAGGTGATAATGGGCATCCTTCCTTCACCCCTGATTGTATTGAGAAGGCGTCTAGCTTATCCCTGTTACAGATAATGTTTACTGGTGATTTTAGATAAATATTACTTATCATTTTAAGGTAGAGGGTAATCTTAAGACCCATGGAAGATAGAAGTTAAAGGGAAGCATATCTTGGTTTAGCCTAAAGAAGAGTTTTCTAAAGTAGTTTGTCAACTACTTTGCCCAGGAATGAGTTCTCCATCATTAGAAGTATTGAATGATTTCTCTGTCAAGTATGTTGTAAAGGAGATTCCTACTTCTTACTGGAACATTAAACTAGATTATTTCTGAGGGCCTTTCTAACTTTAAACAGGGAAAATTTTGTTGTATGTGGGGGAACAGACTTAAATGTTAGAGAAAAGGAAGATGATCCTTATCAGAAATGTTCCTTGTTAATTTTCACCATGGTCTTGCCTTTTCATTAAAAACAAAAGAAAAAAACCTGCCCAATTCCCTGGAGAACAGGAAGGTGCTCAGTAAGTGAATGCTGATTCAGATTTACAAAAGTAATTTGTGTTTTTATTTGTGACTAACAGAAATCAGGAGAAATTAATAAAATATCATTTACAATAGTAACAATGCTTTGAATATCTGGGTATGCATTTCAGTTTAACATACTCCAAATGCCTTCCATAAGTGTGCAAAGGCAGTTGCCAAGATACACAATGAACCTATGTAAAGAAAATTATAAAGTGATTTTTATGCAAATGAACTAATTAAGCAAAAGGGATGTTTTATGCATCATGGCTTGGTTGAGGCCCTAAAATTAATTTGGGAAGTGTCAAAATTTTTACCAATAGCTTCAGTACAATACCAGTCAAAATGCTGACAGGTTATTTAATAAAATTAGATAAAGTTATAACAAAATTTATAAGGAAAAACATATCAAAAGGAGCTATGGAAAAGTGATAAAAAGAAGACTTATGCCCTGCCTTCTCCACCCAAAAAAGTTATAGATTGAAGATTCCATCAGTTCATACCATTTATAACCTGTTAGATAAATTTTAGTTGCTTGCAGCTTAGTTAGATTAAATAAGCCACAGTGCCTCTCAGTTATCAAAGAATTGTTTATCAAGCTATCCGGTGCTACGTTACAGAAGACAGGAAAGTAGATCAGTGGGAGAGAGGCAGCATGGCATAGTGAATAGAGAGGTAGCCTTACATGCCACCTCTGAGGAGTGTATACTGGCCATGTGACCCTAAGCAATCACAACCTCCCACCTCTCAGCAGCTTTCTAAGACTATAACTACAGGGAATGTGGCAACCTAAATTGATAGGGAGAGTTTCCTACCGTAAGAATTCCGTATCCCTAGATAAGTGGGATGGATTTAGGGAATCGATTAAATTAAAACCAAAATTTTATCTGAAAAACCTAAGATTGGGGAAAGAAATTCAGTAAAATTTATTAGGAAAATATCTATAGCAAAAAAAATGAATTAAAATCTGCATTGTGCACTGTAATAAATTTCAGTTTGATCAGTGATCAAATATAACTTTTTACCCAGAAAAGTGGCAAACAGTTGACAACAATAAGATTGTGTATTAACTGGGTTGTAGGAAATAGGGGCATTGCTGCCTTGAGGAGCTGTGGAGTGGTGCAGTTTTCTGAAAGATAATCTTGACCATAGACCCAACAGGTTACAAAATTGATTCTACTAGTTGGCCTGGTGATTCCACTGCTAAGAACTATTACCTCTCTATGGAAAAAAGGCATTCATAGCAGTTTTTGTTTTTTCAAAAACATTTCAAGTCTTGGGGAAAATGGTTGAAGTGAATTAATTGAATGTATTATTGATCCATAAAACATGACAAATGTGGAAAAAATGTAAAGTATTATAAAGGATCAGAACAATAGACCCTGATTATCACTACATATATTTTAAAGGCAGAAAATCTGATATATATATATATATATGGACAGAGGAGGACATAATAAGATATTTTGCCAGAGTGATGTAGGGAGAAGGATGTTGAATTTAGAGTCTGAAGACCTGGGTTTGAATTTCAGTAGGAACCTGTGTGACCATGGCCAAGGTACTTAACCTCTCTGGGCCTCAGTTTCCTCATCAGTGAACTGAGGGGCTTAGGCTACATGACCACTGAGGTCCCTTCTAGCCCTGCTTTCATATATTCAAGGTGTTCCAGAAGTCTTGGTGTCATTTTAAGCTTTAATAGCTTACACATGCACTCTTAAGTTTTAATACCTTAAAAATCCACTAAGACTTTTGGAACACCCCATGTAATGAGGCAGGTGTATTACAGAGTCACACACCTCTTACACACACAAGTAGTAGAAGACTGAGGGGGTGCTAGGAGCAGCGGCCACCTGAAGGCTTATCAGTGACGCTATTGGCTGCAATTCTTAAAGAATGCTGAGTTCTTGATGTAGGCACTTTCTCCATGGATGTGGATTGCAACTCCCTAGTAGTAGATAGTTTTCACCTCATTGATCAGATCAGCAAACACGTACTTAC